CAAAGCCGAATTTTCTTTGATGACGGCAAACAGGCACTACTAGGTGGATCCCAACATAAAGCTGCTCCAATTATGGGTTCACCGGTCGAAACATAAGACACAGAAGTTAAGTATTACACACTGGTGTGGTTTCACTTTCACACAATTCAAGATCTGTCCAGGATAAACAACCGACTGCAAACTGCTGTGTTCAAAACAGTGGCTGACCGCTTTAGTAAAGAGATTTCCTTTAATGTGACTTTGAAAGGACAACATGTGATTTCTCGCTATGCGAAATGCATTGATGATGCTTGCAACAAAGAAGTTGAAAGTATCGATTTAATATGACAAAATGAATCCCCTGCTACAATAGACACTGGCAATGAGACCACTGCTGATGAATTGAAACCCTAATCTAGTAAAAATATGAAAGTGAAGATAATTAGCTGTGCAAATGATGAGAAAGGTGAAGAGGATGATCTTGATGAAAACGGAGACGAGAGTTACCAAGATAATGAAGAGATAATGAACTAGACGACGGAGAAATAGATGATGTCATCAGCTAATATCACTATGGAAACCAAAGGTGCCGATTCAAAGCCTACTCTTCTAAAACCAGCTCACTAAGGCAAGAGGAAAAAATTGATTCAGAATGCCGCCGCTACCTTGCAAGAAATGTTGACAACATAGACCATAGCTCAGTGTGACAGGTTCAGCAACATGGCATCAGAAGCTGTGACAATAATGAACTCCCTTGGTTACTTAGTTTAAGAGAGATAGAGAGACGCTGCCTGCTCCCATGCAAGATACGGTGGCGAACCTGAAGATTTTGAAGAAACGGCTAAAATCTGTAAAGCTGAGGTTCCAAAAGAGTCACCAGAGTTGATACCTATAGAAAAATCAGATGGCTGGTGATCGATCAACTTTTAATCTGTTCACAGGATTTCATTATGAGCTGACATAAGTTACAGAACCATTGAAAAACCACTAGGTTGTACTTGACAACTGTTTCACATCTAGTTTGGAACTCTTCAGTATTACGCACCCCTCACAGGAGGCTAGAACACAGGACCCCCTGGTTACAAGGCGAGCTCGTAGACCACTAAGCTACTGGGACTCCATTCAACGGCCAGTCCATAAATTCCAACTTCTGCCACTTCACAACAACATAGCATTAATACTAACGAATGTCATTGCTTGCGATTATCTTTCCTCCTGCCCAACCTGCTGTACTCTACTGACCACGATTTCCCTCCAGAACCCTTTAACCAACCAATCAAACATCTTGCAAACCAGTATTTGAATTTCGAACCTGTTTGTTGGTAGGGTCACGGAATACTCGACCACTGAGCAACTTTATGGTTATCTTCTCAATGACTGTCAGTCTGTTTTTATTGATTGCTTGGCAAAAACCCTATTTTTAAAGACGCGATTATGTTATTCTTTTCTCGTGATGTCGTTGAAAATGTTTTTGTGTTATATCCAGATTTTTGAAGCTAACTGAACCAGCAACCTTATTTGTGAATGTTAAAGAGATTTTAATGCAGGTGAAAAACCCAGTTCTTAAAAATGGTCCACTGTGTTTCTTATGATGCTTGGTTGTCTATTGAATGAATGAGGGAATATAAATTGGAGTGAATCAGTTTTGACAAATCACAAAACTGAATTTGTCCTCAATGAATCAGGTGAGGGTATTGTATACAATTGGTGGATGGTGGTTAGAAGTGGAATCCAGGATGCGCATTTCGTCCTATTTGGGACTCGTCAGCTGGATGTACCTGCATTTCACAGTGAGTGATGATGTTCCCACTGAGGCTAGAACCCAGTGCCCACAGTTTCAAACACCAAATGGGTTCGAGCCTCAGTGGGAACATCATCACTCACTGTGAAATGCAGGTACATCCAGCTGACGAGTCCCAAATAGGACGAAATGCGCATCCTGGATTCCACTTCTAACCACCATCCACCAATTGTATACAAATCAAATCTCCAGACATCGTCGAAGCATCTGCACAAGAAGCCGACATGTCAACCTGAGACCGAGCACTTTGGTCCAATCAATCGACGGGAAATTCAAAAAATTCAATTCAATGATCAGAATGATGTTGGAAAAACCAAAAGTTTGATGGATTGATGTTAAGGTGAGAAATATTACGCGAACCTTTTACTAGATGGTAGTTTATGCAACTGTTTGCGTACAAATTCGATTTTGAACAAAGCAAGAACTACAGTTTTAGGCAGAATAAAATGGTACCATCTTTTACTTCGTCACCTTCTCGTCAACTGCTTAAAGGGCAAAAACACTAATAAATATGTCTACAAAAAACAATTTTAACATACTAGCGCAGAGTTCATTTTAAACAAAATCAATCGATTAATAAACGCATACACTAATAATATATATATATATATATATATGTAATATTGAACACTATTCCGAACAATAATAATCATGCACAATGGAAACTTTTCAGCATTTCGTATTCGGATGAAAGAGAGATGAAAAATATCCAGTTACCAGAATGGGAAAAGAAAGGCTGATAACCGCTTCTTTCTGGTCGCATGAATCAGGTTTCAGGCGCTTGATGGAAATGGCTCCAGCAAACTTAAGGAGAATTGAGCTCTTTTGCCTATTAATAATTTTGAACGACTTTTCAACGTCCACCTCATGACCCGTGTCGAGGAGATGCCTGGTACTGGCACTGTTTACAGCATTTGTTCCTTTTAGACGCAAATTTTTGGTACATGTTCAGAAAATCGTAGATATGCCCTTCTTTCTGTCCTTCCAACATAACTGCTCCCGCAGATACATGTAAATTTCTATATACAGTTGAAGTTAACATGAGAAGGATATCTATCGATTTTTGACTGCACCAAAGAGCAAGTTGTTTGATAGACGGGAATGAGATTAGCTGCAGGATAGGCTATGGCTAGTGATGTACTCAGCCTTCTGTTGACCATCGCTGCAACGTTTTCACCTTTATAATCAAGCTGAACGTAGACTGGCTTTTTTCCCGCTGTGATTTGTTTTACATGTGTTATTTCAGATCTTCCACACTTGTTGATGAACCTTTGAGGGTACCCATTGCTCTTCAATATCTTTTCAAGAAACTCGAATTCTTCCTCTAATTTCTCTGTACGGCATATTCTCCTCGCTTTATAGTACAGAGTCTTGAATAGACCGCGTTTAAAGCTTTTTGGACAAATTCGATTGGTCAAAATTAATTGTTCACATGTAGAACGTAATCAGAAAGTTAAGTGCCCTTGGTCAGTGTTACACTGTCTGATGTTACCAAACAACACGAAACCATGCACAAGCATAGCCTGGCTTTTGTCAATGGCAATAATAGTCAAAGAGATATATTTTTATGCAACATTTGTCAGACCCATCTTGCTGAAGAATAGGCAAGGGCACTGTTGCATGGAATTACTTGGAATTATTACCTAAGTGTCTGAGTTTTATCTAGTGATTTCTTGAGACCATCACCATTAATGTAAGTAGACATTTAAGTGGTTTACTGTGCGATAGAATTTAACAGCTAAATCCCTTCTGTGCAAATAGAGATTGCAAGAGTGGTGGCACAGTGGTTAGGACTCTCGTCGACCATCCACATGGTCTAAGGTTCGATCCTCTGCCGACGCACACCTGATACCTATGGTCGGCCTGCGAAATTTAGGCTACCGATATCCATCCTGAAAATTCCATACTTGTACTAAAAAGTACGGTGTGGAATCAAGCTGTAATCAAAAACAAAAATAAATAAAATAAATAAAAAATAAGTAAAGTAATAAACACACAGTGAAGTGGCCAAAGGCGATATCTTAAATTTAACGTTAAACTGCATAGACTGTCTACCGGAGAATGTGGTACGTGGGATGGCCTATTGGAAATGTCTTTTACAGACATTTAGAAAGGCGGTTTCTAAGGATTCCTACAGCAATGTCACCTGTGAATTCCAGCTTCATGAAGGGAGATTTCCTAGGAACTGTTATGATTTTTGGCGACGTAGGCTTTTCTTTCATGTTTTTGTCTACGAATCATGGTGAATACCCATTCTCTAATAGTGTTTAACGTAATAAATTTAATTCGTTCTTTCTCTATCACGACTTCCGAACAGATAATTCTAATCCTTGAACTTAATGTACGTACCAGGTTCTGCTTTTGCATCAGTAGGGCGAAGCTCTCGAAATCGATAAACTGTCCCATCCATGTTAGCTTGTGATATGTCGATCTTTATTATTATAATTTTATACTTTTCGTTCATTTTCGACCTGATTGATAATGTTTTTTTTTACACCTTTACGTTCTCAGTGGAACATAGGACTTCAAGCTAGCTAGAGTCTAGGAGTTTCTGTCGCAGTAATATCATTTTTTTAAGGTATGATGCTTCTATTCTCATGCTAAATCTGCCCTTTTTACCAGTTTTATTACTGGTTAAGCAAGGTAAAGGAGTTCGTCGGCCGGGAAACCAACCTAGAACCACACGAGGTGTGATTGATGGGTATTCTACCACTGTGCCATCGACGCACTAAGTAATACCGAGAGGATTGTATGTCTAATCTGTGAAACTTATTGCTACTGTTAATGCTAAAATAATTTTCTTTCCTCAATCTTGGTAAACTATACTCTTTAATGTTATTTTTAATTATTCTTGAGTAAATTAGATGCATTACCGTGCCAAATGCTGAGAATTCCATCCTGTATTGCTAGAACTATTTAAAATAAATTAAATCGTTAGTGTTATGATTATTATGGTTATTTTATCATTATTATTCTGACCACTTCACCTTTCATTGCTTATTAGATAATCAATCTGTGCACTCATTATTTCTTATCTTTTTAACGGTGTTATGCATAATGTAATCCAATTAGTTAATTATAAGCCCCCCATCCACCCTGACATGTTGGTATTTACTAATTATTGTTGATAAACTTACAGCTATTAGATTGGTAAATCTCAGGTTGTAATGCATTAAAAATGCTATAAATGTGTAGTACTAGTGTAGAGCCATAGATGAGGATCTAATCAGAGAGTAAGTACTTCTTCTTTTCACTCTTTTTGTCTTCTAAGTGTGGACTGTTTTTCTTAAATTCATATCAAGCTTTATTATTATTATTTATGAATTGGCAAGTGAAAAGCAACAAGCTGGCAGAAGAAGCATCAGAGATAGGACTCCAGGTGAACATAGATAAAACAGAAGTGATGAAGATTCCTGGCCAATACCAACAGCAACAGCAACAACAACAACAGACATCAATCAGCCAGCATAAATGGGAGGAACCTGAAAGAAACAACCTCCTACCTACCTGGGAAGTGTCATTTCAACTACAGGCGGAACTGACGAGGATATCAAAGCGGCGAGTATCGGTAAAGCAAGACAAGTTTTTATTACTCTAACCGAGTCTGTGTGGAGGTCAACAGCACTCATCATCAAAAATAAGATCCGGATTTCCACCTCCAATGTGAAGTCAGTCAGTGCTACTCAGTGCACGGATCAGAGACTTGGCCAGCGCGTCATAAAGAGCATCTCAAACAAACTTCAGACCTTCATTAACAGTTGTCTTCGCTCAATACCACTCAAGATCAGATGGTCGGTCAGAAAAGATCAGCCACAGGGATCTCTGGAATTGAGCGAACCAACCCAGCAGGAACCAACTTGTGCAACAAATAAGCAGGAAGAAATGGAGGTGGATTGGCTGGCTATACTCCGAGGAAACCATCAAGTGACATCACTAGACAACCATCGCTCGAGTGGAACCCGAGGGAATGGGAAGCGGCGAGTTGGTCGTCAGTGTGAGGGTGACTTGGAGGAGGTCATGTGAGGCGGGGTAAAAAAAGTTGGCAGAAAACCGATGGTAATGGAGATGCACAGCTGAAGCCCTATGTTCCTCTAGGAATTAAAGGATATAATAATAACATATGCATACTTACATTTATTTTTTTATATCTTTTTCAGTAACTTATAACTTTATATCAGTCGTCTAATACAAGCGCCATTTCTGCCTGAAGATGCAATTAAAACTGTTGTTTTTATTCAATGTAATTCTTGCGTTTTATTCCACAGAAGGTAAATACATACGCAATAATGATAATAATAATAATTACAGTAAATTTATTCATTTTGCATTTATTTTGCATCTGCCAAAACGTTTTTCTTCGAAGTGAAGTCACCACGCAGTGATCTTTGAGTAGCTCTGTTAGTTTAACTGAAAATTCACAAAGTAAAAAACTTTAATTCATTTGACGTTAAGAATGAAGCATTTCTTCAATAATATTTATGATTGATTGCGTAATTAGGTATATTAAGTAAACTGGAGATTGTTGAATGTTCTTAGAAGACCTCTAGTGTTTATTTAATTGTAGACTTTTCAACCACCCCTCTCGATGATATCTCCAATACTAATTTCATGATGATGAATTTAGTTGCACAATAGAACACTAATAATTTAACTAATTAATTAATTAATTAATTTTGATTATAGCTTGATTCTACAAGTATGGAATTTTCAGCATGTGATATCAGTAGCCCAAATTTTGCAAACAGACCAGTGATATCAGGTGTGCATAGGCAGGGGATCGAACCCTAGACCGTGTGCATGGTCGGCGAGATTCCTAACCGTTGTACCCCCGACGCAAAGAAAACTAACTCCGAACACAGCAACGCCTTAATCTTAAAACTCTGCATACTATAAATCAAATATAAGCAAAGTTTTACACAACTCCCTCAGTATCCACCGAAGCTACTACGACAAGCGAGTGACCGGATGAGCTAAGCAAATCAGGAACCATTACCTCACTAAGACGAAGTGAGTTCAGTGTAAAGAATGTTTGTTGTTTGTCTATTGAAACAACATAGACTGTTCGACGACGATTATTATTTATTATCATCTGTTTTATTGTTTTCACGTTCCCAGTGGAACACAGAGCTTCATGTTTCGTTAGCAGTGGTAATTATTTTTATGGGATGAAGTTGCTAGCCTCAGGTGTAACCTTCCGTCTTTACCGGCAGGGGATCAAACCTCGAACCATAGGAGGCGTGGCTGATGAGTATGGATGACGATGACGATTACAATAGCCGAATTCTAAACAGACATCTGAGAACTGATACTACTTTAACCGTTTTGTTAGTAGTAATATGCAGTTTCACTCAATTATCTGAAATTACCAGCCATTTTTATTTCATATAAAAGAGTTGTATTTTGTAGATATTTAAAATTCATATTTTGCTCTTTACCTCATCGTGATCTGTTGATTTTCTTTAAATAAATCATTTCAGGTTTTAAATTAACAGGCGTTCGATACAAATATGTAAGTATAATTAATTAGGTGGCAACGTGCGTGTGATTAACTCCCCACTTCGTTTTGCCCACTTATCTATCAACCTAACAATTTACTCAACCAGATGAATTCCCCCTTAATAAAGTGTGTCTACATTTATACTACCAGAAATTTTTATTTCATACATCGAATTCAAGTCCCGCTTAAAATGAATTTGAAACCTCCGACAAAAATCAAGTTCCGCATGACTGAATTGAATCATTGCTCGTTTATTTTTTAAAAACTTTTATTCCTTTGCGCTCCAAGTGGAACACTGAACTGCAAGCTTAAGCTTTGAAGTTTCAATGGAAGGGATTTTTATATTTTACGGGATTAAATTGTTAGCCTCGCCCTCAAACACTCCTCACATGTTTACCGTGATTATTACCTGTCAAGCAGGTTGTAGCAGAGTGTCGACCAGGCACTGAATCCTCGATCACGTGAGGTGTGTTTGGATCATTGTGATTCAAATTTATGAAAAGTGATGGTATAATTCATGGCTTATCTATCTAATCAGCGTATAGCAGGATACATATGCACTGTGAGCCTTCATAAGGTGGGCGTTAAATTCAACTTTCTTGAACATACACGTCATTCTAGTTAACGAATTCTTGTACAACACTACAGTCCACCTGATCATTATCACTTTTGACTATATAGTCAATCTAATGTGAGTTTTATTTCAGCTTTGCTTGGTTTCAATGGTATATTACTCAGTTTTGTTTGCTGTTGCTACTTTACGTTTCATTTCAGTGGGATAATAAGTACTTTGTCGAAGTAGTTCCTCGGGGAGGTTGTTCATTTTGCGTATGCGTAAGTATTTTTTTTTATTTGAAGCTTTTAGCCTAAAGCATATTGGTTATTATGAATGGTTTTCATCAAGTGATAGACTACATCGATGATATTTTCTCTCATATTTCGTATTTTAAGTCTTTTAAATCAATCCGCAGAGATGAAACAATGTCGCACATTAACACTTCTAAGTCAATCACTGTTGACGCGTCTGGATTTTTTGTCGAATCTTCTGTCTGTGACTTTATAACTTCCCATCACTCTGAAAATAACCTCAGTTTGTGAAAGTGTTTGTCTTTGAGCAGAAAAGACTTTCGTGTGTTTATCGCTGTTACTCATAAACTAACAGTGGTTATAGTACATGTACTGTCATGAAGATCAGAGAGTAATAATCTTTGTAATCGACTTTTCCCGGGATACTACACACTAAAATTTAACTCTGACGTTTCTCTCCGTCTATACTACTGAAATAAGTGAGAAAAAATTCAGTTAGATGACATTAAATTTCTGCTTGTTTGATGATTGATCAAAAGAAAGTGATATTCCTCTGCCACTGGAAATATTCTTGTTCTTGAATAGATATTCTTTCCTCCCAGCATAAACTACTGATTAATTGAAGCGAGTAGTTGGAAACCAGTCACATCAACTAGTGGTATTTGCACGAGGAGATTGAATCAATCTGAACACCAACCGTTTGAGGAGAACTACATATGCCGACACAGATCAGAGAGATGAATCGGTTCAATTTATTTGAATTCTGGCAACTCCGGCTTTTCTAAGGCAGTTTAAAAGATTTTTGATCACTGCTGAGATATTCTGGAAAAAGCTTAGCGTAAAATTCTCAGTATAATTTCAAGGTCCAAATGATGTATAATCGTTGAAATTTGTTGATTTTTAAGCGTCAAATCTGTTATCACAGACTACTCAACGCATGTAGTTGTCAGGTGATATTGATAGTATGTCGATTTGTGACTGCGATTTTGTATTAGCGAAGTTAAGGTTACCCTGACTTTGGACTGTGTGCAGGAAGTGTACGGGGAATGATTCTTGTTGACAGAGTTTTGTGGCCTACTTGTTGGGAATATCCTTCTCGATTCTCAGGTACTTCTTACAGTTGATTTTGATGGTTAAATAGCTTGGTATTTGTACAGTACTTGTTTTGTAACTGAGATACCTCTGGACCTCCACAGCTACCCAACCGTATTGTAGTAATTGTGAATTTTGGTTGGGGCATTCTGAGACTGTGCGTAACCCAAGAAAGATTTCGTTTAGCTATACGGTAGAATGCAACGACCGGTTTCCAGTGTTCAGACCACAACATGTCGTAGGTTTCGGTCGCTACATCACAATCTGGTCATTCCACAGTCCCATATCTAAGTTAAGACCAGTTTCCCTATACAACATTTTGAAATTACTTGAATCAATATTGTTGAGAATTTTATAGATTTTGTTATAAATACACAGGATTTGTCATATTGCTTTTAGGAAGAGGATCGACTTTCTGAGGTGAGATCATAAATTGTATCGCTTTCATTCAACATATTATCTTCACATCTTCATGAAGAAATCCTCCAACCCAGTTATATGACTTCATATATGAATATGAAGATTAAATAAGAACACAATTGCTTAAGCGTAGAAAACAAATAGAGAAAATTGAAGTCGTATAGCTAGCTGTACAAACTAGTGCCAGAAATGGGTAGTCAACAGACAAGGTGGAGTATATCACTTGTTCCTTTCTATTCATGCTATTTCCAGGTCAATCGCAGCATGATCTCCTACTAGTTAGCAACATTACTGAACTGAAATGATTGTCACAAATGGATACAATTAAGTTGTGTACATACATACACTCATTTTCTTCGAACTACATGACATTTTATAGTTAAAAGTGTCTAAGTTGGTTTACACCTTAATATAACTGTAAAATTTGGGTGTTGTGGTGACACATAATTTCGAATTAGGCAAGTTTTTATTTAATATAACATATATGGGGATATAGTGCCAATCACTGGGTGAAATTCTGAGCACAGCGCACGGAAGAATCAGCGGGGCGTTTGGAGTAAACACAGGAGTCAGACAAGGGTGCTTATAATCGATCACCAATGATATTCCTAATTGTGGTGGACTGGATTATGCGTCAGACTGTGGGAAACGAGAAGACAGGAATATCCTGGACCGACGTGAAGAACCTAGAAGACCTGGATTTCGCGAGTGGATGACTTATGTTTTATGTCACACACAATCGAAGACTTACAAGCGAAAACCGACCGACAAACTGGTCGAAGAAGCAGCAAAAAAAGACAGGACTCCAGGTAAACATAGACAAGACGGAGGTGATGAAAATAACCAACCAACAACAGCAACAACATCCAACGTCAATCACTATCAACGGGAGGGATTTGAAAGAGGTTACTTCATTCACTAAAATATCTAAGGAGCATTGTCTCAACTACAGGAAAAAGGAGCGGACGAGGATGTCAAATCGAGCGAGATTCGTAAAGGCGAGAAACACATTCATCAACCTGAAACCAATCTGGAAATCTTCGTCACTCAGCCATCACCAACAAAATTCGGATTTTCAATACAAACGTCAAGTCAGTCAGTTCTTCTTTACGGATCAGAAACTTGGCGAGTGGGCGGGTCACAAAGAATATTTCCAAAAGGCCGCAGACCTTTATTAACAACTGTCTTCGCTCTATACTGAAGATCAGATGGCCGGAAACAATCACCAACAAAGAAATATGGTAACAAACAAAGCAAGAACCAATCGCCCAACAAATATGCAGGAGAAAGTGGAGATGGATCGGACACTCGCTGAGGAGACCGCTGGGTGACATCGCACGCCAAGCCCTCGAGTGGAACCCGAAAGGGAAGCGGCGTGTGGGACGTCAGTGCAAGGGTGGCATGGAGGAGATCGTGTGAAGAGGAGTTGAAAGAATATGGATTAACATGGATGCAGGCGAAAAGTATAGCAGAAGACAGAAGAAAATGGAGACGTGCAGTTGAAGCCCTATGTTCCACTAGGAACCCAAGGGAGCAATAATAATAATAAAAAAATTCCCCCAATTTGCAAACTTACTTCATACATTTTTCCTCTCTACTATTTGATAATCAAGGTCTCTCATACATCCGAAGTTGATGTTGCGTCACTGCATTGCGCTTGGTTTTTTGCTAACACTGAGGTCACTTGGGTTAGCAGAGCGGAGGAATTCAACAAAATTCACCGCATTAGGCCACATCTATAAAAACAACTTAAGCCATTGTACTGCATTCCCTCACTTGTAATTACAAAATAGAGTGATAGACAGCCGACCTATTAGAAAACAAGATAGTTAGGGGAAACGAGAGAGAGAGAGGCTAATCAGTGAGTCTTCATTTAATCAACCAACACCGAATGTACGTCGTAGGAATAACGCAAAACCAATTAAGGATGAAAACGATAAAAAGTTGTACTGGAAAAGAGAGGTGGCAAGGTCATGTGAATACTTTGACTGGGATTAACAACAATAAATTCTAATCGAAACATCATCCAATTTATATTACAATATAACTGGGTATAGTATATCGAATTGACTCATCAGTCATAGAATCTATTTGCGCCCTTTGTATTGTGACCCTGTCAGACAATCAGTTTTACTTGTTAATTTTACTAATACACATACAAAATATTATTATTATTATTGGTTACAGGATTTGATCATGTGCTGACATCGGTTAGAGAACCATTGGAAAACCAGACGGCAGTACTAGATGGCTGTTTCGCCTTAGTTCGGGACCTCTCAGTAGCACGCACCCACCGAGACTCGAATCTAGGACCTACTGGGCACAAGGCGAGCTCATAGACCATCAGACCTCTGGGATACGGCTTAATGGCCAATGAATTCTAACTTCTGCCAATTCACGACATAGCGCAACTGCTAGCCAATGACTTTGGCTAGTATTTGCCCTCACAGCCGATCTGCTGCACCCTACTGGTAATGACATCTCATTAGAACCCCAAGTAACTCCCTACCCGAATAGGGTTAGTCACCAGTGGGCATCTCACTGATATTCAAGTATTGGTTTATAGAGATTTGATTGATAGGTTACAGGATTTCATCATCATGGGTTCGAAGCTGATGGAGAAACCCAAACTGGGACGAAACAAACATCCAGTACTCCATTTTGGTTTTTCGATGGTTCTCTAACCGATGTCAGCTCATGATGAAATCCTGTAACCAAACAATCAAATCCCTACCAACCAATACTTGAATATCACTATTATTATTATTCTCTTGGGTTCCGAGTGGAATATAAGACTTCAACAGAACATCTTAATTCCATCCTGTTCTCTTTAGTCCTTTGTAGATGACTCTACGACTGTTCACAAGCTCTCATCTTCGACTCATACGATTTCCTCCATATTATCCTCGGGTTCCACTTGAGAGCTAGTCTAGAGTGCTATGTCATTCAGAGATCTTCTCAGTGAGTGGCCTGTTCACCTCTATTATATTTGGCATATTTACTGAGTAATACGTTCTTGGTTAGTTCGTTCGTGGAATTCCTTGTTGAGCAACCTTTCTGGCCATCTGATCATTAGTATGAAACCAGAGAAAGAAGCTGTTGACAGAAGTCTGCTGAAAATGATTCTGGTAACGTAACAAATCTCAGACCTATATAGAAGACCAGAATGACATAACATTGGTGTTGAAAATCCGAATTTCACTCTTTATTCTGAGTGCAGATGATGTGTACACTGATTTCAGAGTGATAGAGGTGTGCCTTACCTTTCCTACCCTGGCTTTGACATCTACTATCCGTATCGATTGCCTGTAGTTGAAAGGACAGTGTCTACTAAATTCAATTTGATAGGTTCAGACATTTTCGTGAAGGAAATTCATTAAAAGATGAAAATTTAAATTTTGTTACACTAACAGTTCAAAATAAATAAAAAAAAATATAAAGAATTCGTTTGGATATCTCAAAACTAATTGACTCTTTCTCTAAAATAAGTGAAATACAGAATAAATCACTGTAGGTGACATCTTACACATGATAATGTAGAATTTCTTTATTTTTTTTTCATTTACCTGATAGTTGGATAAAAATTTTATCGGGGAAAGTAAAGGAAATGATGTTTGCCCATATTGTCATTGTGTAAGTGTGTTATCCTAACTGATCTATTTATTCTGCATGCATTTATTCCCCTTGATGAATTTGAATAAAGCGAGAACAACAGTGGCGGTTTGTGCAGAATAACATGGTACCATCATTGCTTATTTCGCTGGATTCTCATCAACTACTTACCACCAGCCTAAATAAATTTTCAGGTTTAAGTACAGAAACGTTTTAACATACTTGCAAAATTCTACATGTTGTCAATTGACGGAAAGTTTCACAATTAGTAAACAGTGCTCAGAAAATTGCGCTTATATAGTTTTTACACAGGCAGTTCAAGTTTAAACAAAAATAAATGTATGCATATAATGGTAAGGAAGTTACATAATAAAGATGAGATGTGCGTTAGATGCACAGTGACTAATAAGTTAGGTGACAATGTACTGAGTTGAACTCAAATCGTAGAAACAAGAGACAAGCAAAATTACAGAATATAAAGGAGGGTGAGGTTAGAGACAAAGATTACATAATCAGGTGAAAGAAAAAAGACATCCAGTTACCAAGGCAAAGAAAGACTAATAACTGATTCTTTCTGAACACATAAATCTGGTTTGAAGCGTTTGATAGAAATTGCTTCGGCAAATTTGAGGAGAATGGAGCTCCCTTGATCTCTTGATAATTTTGAAGGATTTCTCGATTTTCACCTAATGACCCGTGTCGAAGAGATGTCTGGTAATAGCGCTGCTATAAGAGTTTGTTCCCTTGAGACGTAGGCTTTTCGGCACATGATTTATTCTGATTTGATTCAGATTGATGAAATTCAAATATTGATTATTGAATTCTGTTCAACCTATTATGCTCTCCAACCAACCCCCTCCCACCATGTTTTTATCGATCTAAGAAGATATTTAGTCATCTGTGCGTCGGTGGCACAGTGGTTAGGACTCTCGCCGACCATGCGCATGGTCCAGGGTTCGAGCCCACACCGGCGCACACCTGATATCTATGGTGGGCCTGCGAAATTTGGGCTACCGATATCCAGGCTGAAAATTCCACACCTGTACCAAAAACACGGTGTGGAATCAAGCTGTAACCAAAAAAAATAAATAAATAAATAAATGGAATGATGGAAGTGTTTTCAAGTTCGCTATACTTGTATTTATCGTGTAAATAATTCCAAAGATTATTATACTAACTATCTTCATCTGTGGCTGTTAATTCTTCATGTGAAGGGGTTTCAAGTTAACTCCGTGGTTGTAATGTAGGCCTACACCACGGTCGTACAACAACTGCCTGACTTCTTGGCTTAGCCTACTCCAACTCGACGGTCAGACTGCTCTTGACATTTTCCAACTGATTAAAACAGAACATATTGCTGATATCTATCTACTCAAGGATAAGTTAAGGTAGGAAGTGTTGACAGTTTATAAGAATCCAGTAACCCAGTGTAATGCATTCACTACGTCCTGATCGCTTCAAATAATCTCAAGTATTTAGGATAACCTTCTTTTATCTCCAGTAGTGGGAATAGATAGACAAATTTTTACAAAGGAGGATCAATTATTCAAAGCTTCATCCATATACCACAAATTACTTGGATTTCCTACTGTGGTGAGTGCAGGCTGCTAGGCAATTGGTTGACATTAATTTACGTCAATGTCTAGGTCACTAATATTGGCCGTGAGAAAATATGAACAAGGCTGATTCAACAACCAATCACAGCAGACTTAACGTGGGCAAATAAGATTCGCAGATATATGGCTTAACTTTCCGAGAAACCAGAAACAACCAATCAGAAGACTGTGTTTGTCTGCTTGAATAAGCTATAATAATGTACATGAAATATATATATAAATACGTGCTGGTTTCCATAGTAAGACAATCTGTTGCCAGCACTTGTCTTCTGTTGTTATACTACACTAAAACTACTTAAATAAAAGCAAATTTAAATGAGATGTTCCCAAATTTCCCACTTCTGTGACATCAGACTGAAAAAAAATTCTCATTTTTAAATTTTTTAAAAATTTAATAAAATGTTTATATTTCAAACAAAAATTGAAAGCTGTTATTCTCCCTTGAACTTTCTATAGAAAGCCAATTTATTCCACTCTGGCATCTTCCGAATTCCTTTTACTGAAAAGAAAATAAAGAGGGTGGGTTCTTTGAATATCAGTCGATAAATATTAGACATCCAAATATTTCTCGTAAAAAATACTCTTAGCAACCACAAAAAAACCATTTGCAACTCAACAGTACAGGAAAGGTGTTTTATGCTAAGTGTGTAGTCATCAACAGTGAACACCTTCTACTCAAAAGTGGCAAATATTGCGCTGAACACTTCATCCTTCGAACGCTCAGTTCAAATTACATAACTCATGTCTGCCTTTTAAAATTCTGTTTATCGGTAGATAAGAGATGTTTCTCACCATGGATTTTCTGAAATCCAAGTCTCAGCTTTAATTCAAATATAAACAGTTTATCAGCTCATAGTTAAGCTTTCAATATGACTAGCAATGGAATCCAGAATGCGCGTTTCGTCCCATTTAGGACTCGTCATTGGGATGAACCTGCATTTCCTAATGAGTGACGATATTCCCACCGAGGCTCGAACCCAGTGCCCATAGTTTCAAACGCCAAAGAGTTATTCACTAGACCACTTGGGCCACGAGAGCGACATCTTGTACAACGGGTCATGCTAATTTAATTAAAGCTGATATGTCAACCTGAGACCGAGCACTTCAGTTCAATCAATCGATGGGGAATCTAAAATTCAATTAAATTGATGTTACATAAGTTGTATCAGAAGATTAATACCATGTTTAGCAGTTGTTCAATGAATTCATATCAGATATTATCAGTTATAACATTACCCTGAAACTGCTTTCATTTGACATGACTTCAGACATGCAATATAGAAAGGTTAACCTATCCTACTTATAGAGAATAAAACACCACATTCCTGAGAACAAGATCATGACTGAAAAGACTCTAGCAGCTTAAATATCAAAAGTTCTTGTTCGTTATCGTCAATTAATTAATTTCCCTCTCAACTTTTCACTATGATATTAATCAGCAACATTTTCGCATATGTTCCTTTTTAGAAATGAATAATGATTTTAAGTTTTGGATGTAACGTAATGCTTACAGATAAATAAATCTTTTAAATAGATTTCATTTTTGATTTTCCTGAATCTTTTAAATTGGAAGTGGAATTAAAAACATGACTGCGTAAGCATACATTAAAATAAGATCTGAAAACATGATGGTGACTAATTTCATGATGGTGTACTGCCTATCATTCTTATTACGCAACACTTATTTTAAACCATAATTTAAACACTTAATCTGGGAAAAAGTCAAAATTAAGTAGTGGAAAATATATGTGAGTATGTTTTAGAGGCTAAAGTTATTGACGTTCACGGATAGTAGTAAGTATACGTACTTAAGAATAACGCCCACAACTCTCATAGTATTTGTTCCGCGTTGACCAATGGCAAGGTAAAACACCAAACTTGATCGTTCAAATTACGAGTTATATTTCAGGATCGAATCGGAGTGCGAGCTGATTGCTTAACTACCTAGGGATCGTGCCCGAAGGAATGAACGAACCTGAAACGACAGCGTAGCAAATAGCATGGATGCTTGACCGGAAACCTTCAGCTAAACAAGGGGACTTGAACAGTTAGGGTTCAGTGATGAATGCTGTGGCTAATAATTCTGGGGAATTGCCTACCGATATAATGTTTATGCAATTTGACAGAAATGTACTTCCAGATTGCGACATAGAAAGTATAAACAGTTAAAACCAGCATAACCATCTTATTTCTACCTGAAAAAACCATTTGAAAGCAGACGTGAAAAATGTTAAATCTTCGAAAAACACTAGTGCAAACGGTGGTAAATTGTCACAGGAATAAAGAAACTTATTTAATGCGAAACCTCTACTTTCTATGAGCTTAACAAATATAAACATAATTTCCCATCTCGCTGAATATCGCATTTCTATAAACGTGCCACAACAAAACAAAAATATTAAACTCACATTTTAATTATAAGCCTCATAGATAGCAAACCAAAACGTGTATGTTAGATTCGCCATGATCTGCAATAGCACCACTAAATAAGGAATGTAAAAAATACCTGTAGACAGTTAGAACTGTCTTTTGTTATCACTTCAAGAGACACCTAGTCGGAAAATCGTGTGGACAAAAAGGGGACATATCTGGGAAAAGGCAAACAAAAAGCGGGCACCAGTTTTCAAGGGGGGAAAGATCGAATAGGGGGAATAATGTGTGAAAAACACTGAAACATTTTGCTATGTGCGGGAGGTTACTGATATATTGTAAGTAGTATGATTTTTGTCATGAAATTAAGCCTTCTGTACTTCTGTAAGCCGTTGCTGTTGCACTAACAATTTCCTGTAGAAACTTTGCCATGAAATCCGACAAGCAGAACACAGAATGATATACTAACGCTTAAAAATAGCAATGTAGGTAGGATTAAACCTACAATTTATGTATCTTTCATCATACACTAAGAAAAACAGAAACACGCAATCATACACATACATTAAGGAGCGTGACCAACACCATTAAATTGCAGTCACACGCAGAAATTGACCTAATACTTCTTATTGCCACTTTGACTGTGATAATATATGGGATAAATGTACTTCCTAATAATGTCCATATATGCAATTAATAATAATCTGATAAATTCTATAAAACAACCTGTGTGACTCATCGTTTAACAAATAAATGTTATGTGCTTATTTACCAGTCACTAGAGTTTATGAAAACATAAGCGGTCAATGTTAGTTGCAGCGTAACATTTTGTTTACGTGAATTCCATTCACACAGTGTGCACTCACTTTTAAACTTTACATTAAACAGGAAAGTGGTCACTGTGGTTCCTTGTGGCGTTTTCCGTATTCTAACTAAAATAACCCTTTATTAAGTATGCAAAAGATTATGTGAATGTGACCAACGTTTGAAATGCGATCGCCGGACATTTTATAGGTTTAAACGTATTTATGAGCACTTATTGGCTGAGACGTTACCGGAGGCTAGCACACTTGCTGTCCTCCCTACGAACGTCGAGGCTTCTTCTATGAAGAATGAATGACACCATGACAACAGAAACCGAAGGAGTGCAATCACCACCATCCAGCAGCTTAACACCAGCTGCCAGTACTTCAAAAATGTACCCAGAAGTGTCTTTTGAACGTGATAACATGACAAGTATGCTGCTGGAAATCATGGCCACCACGAACATCTCACAAGCGAGTGGTAACAAAGTCTTGAAGATTTTCCGTTGGAGATGACCTCAGCTGCCTACAGCTACTAGAAGTATACTGAGAATGTGTGGCTCTTGAGAGTCAATACCAATTGAAGGCGGAATGTATTACCACACCGGTCTCCAGATATGTCTGCATCACTACACGGAGATGTCTCCCGTTCAAGCTCCCTTCAACAAGACTGATTTCCAGCCAAATATCAAAGGACTTTTCATGTCGAAGTCTTCTAACCAGCAGCTATAACCAACCTGACTGATAGAATTCAGTCTACACCAATCAGAGGACTAGACGCATCACACTAGTTACTAGTGTTAAATCAAAATATCGACTACAGTCCTACAGGAGGTCAATCGCGAGCCTGAATAGCTCAGTGATAACGTCTCTGACTGCAGCACTGGGTGACGCGGGTTCGAATCTCAGAAGGGACATGAGTTCCTTCAAGGTTGCAGATACTCCTTGCTGACGAGTGCCAACTAGCACGAAACCTAGTTCCAGACAGGGCTTCCTGTGGCCGACTGCCTCCAACCATCTAATGCAATCAAAGCTATAACCCCTGTTAAGCAGAAACACGGCACCTTTCTTAAGTAGTGTATTCCTGATAGGTATATACGGTGGCGCCAGCAAACCTAGGAGTTACAAAAAGTTATGCAATGACTTAGTATCTTAGCTAAAGGATATATTAAGTCAAGGCATGAATATTACCAGAATGAACAGGCATGTTAAAATATGTTCGAGAGGCGTCATCTGTGATGTATCGGGTAGAGCGGATGTGGAAATGATAGTAGGCCATTATGCCAGTGCAGGCTGTGACAAATGCACGGCAAAATGTCATTTGAAAATGGAAGTTTTCCAAATAATCAGCTTACTCCCACATACGTATAGCATTTTCCCTCTTCAAGTTGATAAAATGGGGAAGAACGTGCCTCGTATACTCAAGAGTCCTTATCTGCAGTTTGGAATTTTGTGATGTGCAGTAGTCAAGAATTTAACTACATCAAGAGAAAGATTTTTTCTTTAAGATTTCGTGGGTTCACAGTAGTATAATTAAATAAACCTCAGTAGTTTTCATCACTGAAAAAGTGGAAGAATTATTTGTCCAGATTTCGACAGTCTAGCTATCATTTGAGATAGAGGATTTCAGACTCATTCGCAACAGTAAGGCTATTTGCTATGGGGTTTAATTAGCCACACCTGCTTGTTACATCCCTATCACAGTTCTAACTAGTTGTGTCGTAAATTCTTCTAAATTTCTGTTCAAAGCTACTTTGCACACATACATTTTCCCAAATATCTCCCTTATTTCACTATAAATACAGAATACATTAATTTATGCACATGAGGGAAACCATTTTACAAGCATCATCAAAATGATAAGAAATGTATACATGGAATAAGCATATTTACAATTTTTCCACTGACATAAGATATATTCATACAATGGAAGATAATGAAATAATGACAGTAATTAGACTTTGCGTAAGTTAATACAGTTTATATGATATAATTCTAGGCACCATTATTGTTTGAATAAGTCGAAAACGCGTGTAACAACTGAATGTTGCGTTACATTTGGTCGGTATGGTGGGCTACCCATAAAAGCATAAAAATGGCTCTAGAATCGTTAGTTAGCTTCCCGTGAAGCAATTTTAAGCAATATAATCTGCAAAAGGCTCAACACAGATGTCAGTATCCAGTTTAAGATGCACAGAAGTATTAATTATTCAGGAGCCGGTAGATTTTGATTCATTTCCGTCCAGAACCAGAATGACTGAGAGCGAATCTATACAAAATGCCGAAAGAATCGTGCAGGAGCAGAATATCGCCATTGAATGAGTTAGTGGGATCTGAAATCCAGCTCTCAGCATATTTTCGTTACTTCTTAGATAGCCAGGTTTATCTGCGCTGTATAGGTAGTGATTTGGATTTGTCATAATGATCAACATGTGGACGAATGTCCAGATGTGTACTACAGCTTGTTTGGCATCCCCACCCCACTTCTTGTAGGGTATGATATTTTTATAATTTTGACATATTCCGTAAAGTATCGCCGTGATCATGGGAAGTATACGTGTGCTTTAAATGCGTTACTTCATTGACTTCTATCACCATTGAGTATATACAACGGGAACTGTGGATTTATATAATTCCTCGCCACTGTCATGTTGAGTGAAACAAGTGATCACAATTTTTCTTTCCCTTTGTTGTCTCCGTTCGTTTTAGCTGAGCTGTGTTTCTTTTCCTGATGCCTAGCCCAAAGTTATGTTCCATCACAGTTAGGCTCCCGCCAAGAGACACCATAGACAACCTTCCTAAACTAAAATTCCTTCTGAATACAGTTGCGCATTCCCGTGAATTGGTAAAATAAGGGACCCCAGGATAAACAGGTCCCTAGAGAAGAAAAGAAAAGTGTTTATTGTCTTTTCACAGATAAACCGACCGAACTATGGACTGCAAGTAAGTGTGAATCAGCGCGATAAAACACAGAATGATGTCAAAGCCAGTTCAGATGTGTGCCCGTTAAAACAAAACCTAAGACACATTATGTTTCTGCAAGCGTGCTGCTAGTTTACCCTATTATTATTCCTATCCCATCCCTAAGTTCTAAGTGAAACGCAGTGGAGCGACTCCATTTCAGTTAGAAGTGAGTGATAAATGATTCCTCAAAATTCAGGTACAATCCCTAGCTAGCTAAACAACCATCACTTCACTAGCCTGTGATCCCGTGATGCATTTCGTATTTTAGATGATCAATTTCTTGCTTTAATTTGTCTTTGGTCTAGGCAGAACAAATACGATTGAAGTTGGAATATCAGAACTTGCTGTTACATACATTATATTTGTCGTAGATGTCATTATCCCCGTGTCGCGAAA